TTTGCTATGCGGTTATAATACCTTTCCATACTTTGATTTTGTGTCACCATCCTCATATATGCCAAATTCCGGTGCTCTTCTAGTAAATCTAGTTTAACAAGTAATGCTTCATTGTTTGTTTCTTAGCTTGCTCAAGAAAACCTTAAGGTCGGTTCCCCCACTTCCACCAGGATCAAAGCCTCTTAACCATATACAAGTGAGAAGGGTGTTTCACCTATGCTCGACTTCGTCGTGGTCCGATATGCCCACAACACACCCGGTAACTCATCTGGCCACTTGCCATTTGTATCTTTTAACTTCTTTTTAAGGTTTTGGATAATTACCTTATTGGTTGACTCCGCATGTCCATTAGCACTTAGGTGATATAGTAAAGATGTTATTCGTTTAATCTTCAATCCTTCCAAAAACTTTGTGACTTTGGAACCTATGAATTGTGGCCGGTTGTCACAAGCAATTTCTTTTGGTATTCCAAACCGGCAGACGATATGATCCCATATAAAATCGATCACTTCTTGTTCTCCGATCTTTTGGTAAGCATATACTTTAACCCATTTAATAAAATAATTATTTAAAACCAAAAGATATTTTACCTTACCGGGTCCTTGTGGTAAGGGACCGACTATATTCATCCTCCATTTCATGAATGGCCATGGTGACACCACCAAATGTAAAAGTTACGCCGGTTGATACACTAACTGTTCATGTCGTTGACATTTATCACACTTTTGTACAAATATCTTTGCGTCTTGATCCATCCAGGGTCAATAGTAGCCAACTCTAACTAACTTAAAAACCAATGAGTCTGCACCAGAATGGTTTTTGCATACTCTTTCATGAACTTCCCTCATCACGTAGTCAGCCTCCGACGTCCCTAAACACCAAGTCAATGGTCCTTGGAATGACCTCCTATATAAATGTCTATAAACCAGACAGTAACGAGTTGCCTTAGTCCGTAGTGCCAGGATGATTTTGGGTCTTCAGGAATTCCATGCTTTAGATATTCAATAAACTCATTCCTCCGATCCCATATTAAGTTGGTTAAATTAACTTCACAGTAGCTGTCCATATCCAACACTGAATACACCAATTGAACTACTGCACCAGAATCAAATCCTTTCATTTTCGTGGACGAACCCAAATTGGCTAATGCGTCTGCCTCCACATTTTCCTCCCTTGGAATATGTATGATTGACCACTCTTTGAACAGGAAAATTAATACTTGAACCTTGTTAAAGTATTGTTGCATGCACTCCTCATTGATGTTGAAAATTCTGTATACTTGGTTCACAACCAGCTGGGAGTCACACTTTATTTCGATGACCTCGGAACCTAGTCCCCGAGCTAGTTCAAGTCCTACAACCCAAGCCTCGCACTCGGCTTCATTGTTAGTTAATGGCATAGTTCTAATCGCCTCTCTTAGGATTTCCCCCGAAAGAGTGATTAATATTACCCCGAGACCAGACCATTTTACGTTGGAAGCTCCATCTGTAAACAAGGTCCAAACTCTCGATACCATTCTCGATACCAACACTACTTCTTTAGAATCTAAATGCATTTATCCCAGGCTAAAATCGGCCACGAAGTCAGCCAAAACTTGTGATTGGATTGCAGTCTTGGGCTTGTCTTTAAGGGAAAGGTTGTCACAACGGCTATATGATGACATTGAAAATAAGGCCTAACTTTTTGAGAGGCAACTACGAGAGCTAAGGCCAACTTTTAGGTGCGTATATCGTATCTCCGCTCCCGATAATACTTTACTAACATAATAAATAGGAAATTACGTACCTTCTTCTTCCTGAACCAAAACATCACTTATTGCTGCTTCCAACATGTTACACCCCATATTTTCGTACGTGAGAGTACATCTTAAGTCAATTGATGTAAGTTCAGAAATAAGATCTTTGAAAGTACATAAAGTAAGTAAATCATGTTACCTTGGAGGTTACAAATATTTAAGATCATGGATAACAAGTACCAAGAGGGTTGAAAAGCTTAGATGCTAAACGAATTGAAGAAAATAAGTTTCGTCGAAAGTCGACAAGTTTGGAATGTTATAAAATATACTTTTGGAGTAATACCAGGGTGATTAACATAATAAGGAGGTTATTTTAGTCGTATGATAGTCGTGTGTTACGTTTTGAAGTCAAGCGAGTTGTGAAACAAAAGTTGGCAAATGTTATCACAAGTTACATTCATAATGTGCTGAATATTAGGTCAATTATAGTAGATATTTTCTCCTAATATACTTGGAATTATAGGATGATCCACATACAAAATTGAAGATCTATGAGTCTAGGTTCTAACGCATTAAACTGTTTGTCGATACGACATCAGAATAGAGAGATGTTTGCAGTTTTGTGAGACTGCACAGACTGTATAGATGTGTCCTTGAAGCTTTTTGAGCAATACATTTAGTGTGTTATATGAGGTCTTTTTGGGACAAAAGAAAAAAAAGAAACAATTGAGTAAGTAAGAAAGAAAGAGAGGTGAGGAAAACAATCTGAAAATAAAAATCAGCAACTAAGAGAAAAGAGCATTGTTCTTTTAGAGTAAAGATTCATTTTGAAAATTGTTTAGTTGAGTTATTTGGTTTGAAGCTCCGTTGATGTTTCCGATGTGTCTTCCAGTTGCGAGTCAGTTTGTAAAGAAGCTCAGCGGATCTATGCTTCTTATGTATTGAAGAAAAAATTCTGCTATTGAAAGGGTTGGCTAGTTGTCGTAAGCTTGTTGTTGAGTTGCATTGACGATTTGAGGTATGTTAAGGCTATCCCTTATTTTCTTTTTGCATGATCCATATGGTACAACGAAATGAGCAAACACGCAACTTTCATAAATGATTTTATTCTTAGAAGTACTAGGATTGCTATGTCCTACTATCATATCGTCTGTTCATGGGTCCCATGACATTCCGAGAGATCTTATTGACTTAATTCATTATGCATTGTATCAATTTATACATGTATACTGACCCATAACCAGATGGCACTATATACGCGTATTATATATGTATATGGGGTATGGGAAAAGGTTATGGCGAATGCACCACCACCTGATCAGCTGGTATACGTTGATGATTTCGCCCACAGTGACTGAGATGATATGATGGAATGCCCTCAGAGGCTTGATGATGTTATGTACACATATACCTATGCATGGTATGGCATTTATACGCACATGCATGACATTGTAAAATTTTCATGATTCACACAGCTATTCAGAATTACAGGTTGAGTTCTTTACTCCATGTTTCTTTCATGTCTTTTATATACTACTTTCATGCCTTACATACTCGGTACTTTATTTGTACTCATGTCCCTTTTTCCTAGGGACACTGCATTTCATGCCCGCAGGTCCCGATAGACAGGTTGAGAGTTCTCCTAGTGTGCTATCAGCTCAGCGGAAGGTGTTTGTGCACTCCACTTGCTCCGGAGTTGCCTATTTGGTCAGTATGATTTGGAGATGTATTGATTAGTATGTTGGGGCCCTGTCCCGACCTTTATGATGTTAATGTACTCTTAAAGGTTTGTAGACAGATGCCATGTATATGGATACTTGTACGACCTTATCGGCCTATGTTTTGAGTGTACAAATAATCATGTCGGCCTTATAGGCCCGTATGTCACATGTATAAGTTTCTATATCATGTTGGGTCATCCTATGTCTAATATTCCCTTATGTTTTATTCCGATTATCTCATGATGACCCTTCTGGCCCATTTACTCATAACAGTATGATAAGAAAGATATGTTACGTTGGTACTCAGTTGTGTAAGGCACCGGGTGCCTATCGCGGCCATGCGGTTTGGGTCGTGACACAATACTGCTAGATAAATTAACAATTGCTCACCTTCTTCCAGTTTTGACAACAACGGAAGGCTAGACAGGTACCTTTTTAGGTCTTTTAGTGCCTGTTGGCACTCCAGAGTCCATACAAAATCGTTCTTCTTTTATAAAAGTGAAAAGAAGTGATGGCAATTCTCCGAAGACCTCGAGATGAAAATTCTTAGAGCCTCCAACTTACCGGTCAACCTCTGCACATTATTCACACTTATTAGTTGGTCCGAGATATCATCGATGGCTTTGATTTTATCAGGTTTACTTCAATTCCTCTTTGAGAGAACAGAAACCCCAAGAACTTACCGGAACATACTCTGAAGGCGCATTTCTCCTGGTTGAGCTTCATGCTGTACTTTCTCAGAATGTCAAACATCTCTTGGAGATGTTTCAGATGATCTCCTGCACTAAGAGACTTAACTAACATGTCGTCAATATAAACTTCCATTGTCTTACCAATCTGTTTTTCAAATATTTTATTAACAAGCCTCTGATAAGTGGCTCTGATATTTTTAAGCCCAAAAGGCATCACAGTATAGCAGTATGTGCCAAAGTTTGTGATAAAAGACGACTTTTCTTGATCTTCCGGGTCCATCCTAATTTGATTATACCCGAAATAAGCATCAAGAAAACTCACTAACTCATGCCTGACTGTAGCATCAATTATTTGATCAATGTTTCACAACGGAAAAGAGTCTTTAGGGCATGCCTTATTTAGATATTTATAATCTACACATTCTAAATTTATTATTCTTTTTAGGTACTACCACTAGGTTAGCTAGCCAATTGGGGTAATTTACCTCCCGAATTGAACCTATATTGAGTAATCGGGTTACCTCTTCCTTGACAAACATATTTCTGAACTCTACTATTGGTCATTTCTTTTGCCTTACCAGAGGAAAATTAGGATCCAAGCTCAGCTTGTGGACATCAACTTCCAATGGAATACAATGCGACCATGAAAAACAATCAATATTAGACTCAACCCCGTTCCTAAGTGGAATTTTCTTTCCAAGAAATTTTGAAAAGGGCCACTCGTTCGAGCTCTTTTGCGATTGATTTGGTTGTATCTGTCTCTTCTGGTAAATAAAAGGACCTCGGTACCTGACTCCCTGATGACTCCCCATCTTCAATCGAGGTGAAAGAAGGTATCGGTTCCTGTAATTGCTATTTGCTACTATTGTTGCCCTTGCTACTGGAAATGATTATTGTGTTCATCTCCCTTGTAGCCGGTTGATCTCCTATGATCTGTTTGATTCCTTCTAGTGTTGGAAATTTTAATAGTTGATGGTACGTTAAAGGTACAACCTTTATTTCATGTATCCATGGCCTTCCAAGGATTATATTATAGCCCATGTCGCCATCTACCACTTCGAATAAGGTGGTCTGCGTTACTCCTTCAGCATGTGTGGGCAACAAAATTTCTCCTCGGGTTGTCACACTTGTTAAGTTGAACCCCGCTAAAAGTTTTGTTGTTGGAACTATGTTTCCGGTCAGCTTTGCTTGTTCCAAAACTCTCCATTGTATGATGTTGGCTGAACTTCCTGTATCAACCAACATACGTTTAATTTTAAAATCTAAAACATTAAAAGAAATTACTAAAGCATCGTTGTGTGGTAAAAGGAGTCCATCATCATCTTCTTCTGTGAATGTGATATCATCTTCTGAAATCTTTCGGATCCTCTTGCCATGATTTACCGATATATTTGTCTTCTTTGCAGCTGAAAACCTCACCCTATTTACTTCGTCTCCTCCAAAGATCATGTTTATCATCATCCGAGGTGACCATGCAGCCGGTTTTGATGGTTCTGCAATATCCTGGTTTCTCCCATAGTTTTTCTTTGCGCGATCACTTAAAAATTCTCTGAGGTAACCATTATTCAACAACGTTGCTACCTCTTCACGAAGATGCTGACACTCCCCAATCCTATGGCCGTGAGTTCCATGGAATTCACACCATAGATTAGGATCTCATTGGCTAGGATCCGATCAGATTGGCTTTAGAAACCTAGTTTCTTTAATATTCCTCATAACCGACACCAATTCTACCAAGATGATGTTAAAATTGTAGTCGGATAGTCTGGGATATGTTGAATCTCGGGACCCCGACATCTCTTTCTCCTGCAACAATCTGCTACTTCGACCACAATCCGCCCTTTTATCGGAAGTGAACCTATCCGAAGACTGAAAACCTTTATTTCCATGCGTATCAACCCTCTCGTAAGGTTGAAAACAACTTCTAGACGACCTTTGATCTAATCCATCTGAGCATGAAATTCCTTTGCACTTGGTCCATGCGTTCATTCATTTCCCTCATGAATCTTATGAGCTTAGCTTTAAACGGGTCATTTGTGTTGTTATTGTTCCCAGATCCGCTACTGGTACCTCTTGGCTCGTTAAAACTGAACTCTTCCCTTAGAGTGTCATTTCCGTCTCTTTGAACTATTTGATTTGCAGGAACACTAGAAGGAATCAGAGCTCTTCTATTAGCATTATTGGAAGCACCCGATAATGCCTATTTCAACTTCGTTGTCACTTGATATTGTCTTGAGAGGTGATCCATAATTGCGCTTTGTTGCTCTCTCACAATTCTGACCATTTCAACAATGTGTTCATCATCTGCGTCATCAGGAGTTGGAATCCTTATAGGTTGAAGATTTAGACCTTCGCGAACTGGAGGTTCTTCTCCTTTGTTAGGGGTTTTGCTGGTTGAATCATCACGCTAGAACATATCTTCACGTTCATTGTGTTCTCGAACACTATAGACATTGTTGTCATCGTTAACTGCCATATCTGATTTTTCTTTGCTAAGAAAGGAATCAAAATTTTGTTAGTAATAGATAAATGGATCAAAACAATTACACAATTGTCTATACCTCGCAGTGGGCGCCAAACTATTTACACGTAAAACAGTATTGTTGAGTTTGTAATATGATTTATAGACACGTTGACGAGCGTAAAACACACCACAAAGTTATTGCTCGCTAGTCAAAGATAGTATAGATTTATTATCGTCTCCACAGGGATTGGATTTAAAAAGTGTTCGAATAATCTCCAATTGATTACTATCCTGAAAAATTAACACTTGATTTGATAATTGTTACTACGGTGAACTACTAAAAATTAAGCAAATAACAATTGATCAGAAAAGACAGCAGATGAGCAACAAAGAAATATCAATGAGAGGTATAAGGGTATTTGACAAGATAGGTGAAAGATAACCGATCCGGGATCCCATTCTTAAGTTAATTCACTCTATAATACGGTTGATTCTCACGAATTCAACCGATAATCAGATTGCACTTGAAGTTAATGTTCCTCTTTCGATTAAACGTAAATTCAGTAATTAATCCAATTGAAGCACGGTAAATAATTGCAACAACGAAATGATGGTTATGATCTAAAGGGTAACTTCTCACGAATATTTTCCTATTTTCTAGTTCGATTAACAATTCAAGAGGCTCTTTCGATTACCTATTTGAATCACGAATTTAAATTAAGATTATAAGATGTGAAGAAATTCAATATCAAACTTCTCTTTCGATTAAGCAAAACAACAAATGACTCACAATACAAATTAAAGCTCCATCAATTAATTCTAACAATTATCAAGAATCAAATCCCTAATTATGTTATCGAAACACCGTATCTGTTAACACCCTAATGTAAATAACTCCATAACAATGGAGTAATACATCTCAAATAAGTTTAAGAACAATGAAAACATCAAAGCTAATGATTTAGATACAAACTCATGTATTACACCGACTGCAGGTTGTAATATTGATGAATTCTTGAGTCTTCTTGCCTTGGTTGGTTATCCAATCTTTCGTAGGTCAAAAGTCCCTTCAAAAATATGTTTTGGGTGTATTTATACCATGTAGAAACAAGCCCGAACGAAACTACCATTTCCTAGCCGAACTTGGAGATCACTCTAACAATTTTGCACAGCCGCGCCGCCCCATGCGGCGCGCTAGTGAGGAAATCCAGAGAGCTCGCATTTTGCTTGCCATACTACTTTTGCACTGCCGGGCCGCGCCTCGCGGCGCCCCATGTGGCGCAGTAGTGGCTTTTTTCATAGTAAATTCATGTGTTCACCTTTTAATATCCGAACTTGGTCCTTGATCCCCGAACGTGATCCCGGCTTAATTTTCTGGACTTCTACTCAGATTTCAAAGCTTCAACTTGTTCGATTTCGCTCCAAATTACCTAAATAGCTCGGAATCATTTCCTATAAGGCATACACGCAATAAGTATAATTCACTATCATTTAAGCTCAAACACACGTAAAATGCAATAATTAGACTGCAATACTACGGCTAAAACACAGATTTCTAGCCTAACATCACACGTGAATTAATTTGATCCAGAAATATGAAATAAACAAGAACAAAAGTAAGATTATGAAATAAATTTAAAGGAAATACAAGCCTGACTATGAACTTAGCCTCTCCGGTAACAGAAGTAAGAATAATACTCAAGAGTAAAGACAAAGAATAATATTATAAGATGAGAGCTGACTTTTGTATACAAAATGTTTCGTGTCTACAAATTATGCTAATTCTCCTATTTATAACTTTATTTAGGAAGATAACATCCCCAAATCAAGCTCTTATTGAATGAGAATAAAATTGTCATAGGTATTACGGGATATCAGTGACTTAATTGATTGCTTCTTTTGACTTCCTGTTGAGAGCCGGCCGCACTTGCACCTTGGAGCGGCTTTATTCTATCTATTTTTATGTTTTTATTTCGGGCTATGCCCTTTGTACATTTGTACTCCAAATCTATTGTAGGTTATTGTAGGTTGTGGTTAATTTTAGACTATGTCATACTTAGAGATTTCCGTTGTGTAGCTGTAAAGCTTTCGGCTGTATTTGTGATTATAATTATATCTTATGATTTATGATATCGCGTCATAATGAGACTTGGAATTAGTATGCCTATTGGAGAGTAACTCTTTAAGTGCCAATCGCAGCTTATGAATTTTGACAACTTTATTGATCAAAAAGTTAACTGTTGGAACAAGAAAATCATTGCTGAAATCTTCAAAAGATTTTAAACATCTCTCAATTATCAAACAAACTCATCCATCATGGGTGAGAACCATTTTTTTAATTAAAAAAACAGTGACGGTAAAAATTTATCCTTCTCTAGTGAAACTTATCTCTAGATTCTAGACAACAATAGAAAAGAAAAAAAAAACTAATCTTCGGGAAAAAATCCCCGTGCATTCTCTAACTTTAAATACTTTTACTCTTCATGGTTAACCTATTCATTGAAAAAAGATAGGATTACTCTGCATTCATTATTTAAACCGACTGTAATTATTTTAACTCTAAAGAATTGTTTGTAGAAAAAAATCCTTAAAACTTTGTAAAATAGCTTTTACAATTTGACGTGTTTGTTTACGTATTGTCTTAATTCTTTTTAAAGTTCTTCAAAAACCTTTTCAATGAAGAATCCAAAGAGGCAGTTCTGAAAGTTGCTCTCTCACGTACAAAAAACTCACAAATTTTGTGATGAAATAGCTTTGCTGCTGCCACTTGCCAAATATTATTAGTTTTTTAGTTTATACAAAAAAAAAAATGTAAAAGAATTCCGTTGCCGGGAATTGAACCCGGGTCTTTCGGGTGAGAGCCGAATATCCTAACCGACTAGACTACAACGGATTGTTGCATAACAATGTTCACAATGACACACAAAGTGCTTGCGTAGAGCGAAAATCCAAGCAAAGCAATCTAAGCAATTTTTGAGTTCAGCAGTATGAAAAGAATTACCTCTTACCTAATGGGCTAATTATAAGCAAGGCGTACGATGTAAAAGGACGGTGAATCAGTAAAAACAATAAACTATGATACATAATCAAACAGTTCCAATTGCTGAGTAATTTTTGTGGATTGTTGTAGTCTATTTGGTGCATTGAGGCTTCAAACTCCTGAATCCAACATCTCTCATATGGTACCATTTAAGTAGCATTATAATTTAGAGTTTCTTGCCTTAAAATTGTCAAGCATATCAACAATACTCTGAATGCGATGAACCTGCCAGGAGATGTAGAATCTATAGTCAGAGACATCACTCAAGCACAATCCAACAATGGGTTCATTGGATCCGTAGATCCCAATGATTCCCGTCCAATCACATTTATATATATGTGTGTGCAAAACAATAAGTATAGATAGAATTAGATATACATTTCAAAACTCACTTTCTCGGCACACGACTCAAAACCCACAGCGTTTAAATATTGAATCCATCACTACTCAAGAAGGGCATTACGTTTTTCTTCTCCATGATACAAAAGATTGATGCATCCCTTAAATCATCATTTAAAGAAAAGTCTCTTTTGAAGGTAAAAATTCTCATAACTTAATACAAGAAATCAAGTTCAGAAACTGAAACTAATATACAGCCAACTGTGCTGCTATTCCACGCATAATTGGATAATTAGGCTGATTGACAAACTGGAATGCAAAAATTTTGACCTTTGAACCATATATATTTGGAGCAATTCACACATAGTTCAGTTATTTTAATGTGACAAAAAGTAATTGGTGCCTAAGTTGCTCGGACTCGGGTGCGGGTGTCCGATACGGGTACGGATCTAGAGGTCAGATCTTTCATGATCTAAATTTAAAGATTCGGGGGTACGGATCCAGGTACGGATACGGGTGCGGGGATTCAGCTAAAAATAATTCAATTATTTAAAAATAGAGTTATAAAAATATGTCTAAATTATGAGACATTATGTGAAAAACTTATAAGGTATTCCGAGAAGGAGAAAATATTGAACAAGAGTAGAATTTTAGGAGATAAAAGGAAAAGAACTGACATAGAAATGTATATATACAAGGTATTCCATTTTCTTCCATATCACCCTAGCTTTTGATTTGTTTTCAAAAATTATTGTATCTGTCCCAAATTTCTCCGTTGATTTTGGTCAAAGTACCCAAAATCGGTTGACCAGATCCGACACGGATCCCACACCCACATCGTGTCGACACGGGTGCGGCACTGCAAGTGAAGAGTCCGAGCAACTTAGATTGGTGCAACTCTGAAGATTGACCTGGAAAACATCTGGCTGAACCTATTTGCTACCACTAAATCTAGATCAGAAGATGTTGCAGCAAAGGGGTAAGGACTAGCAACTCTGTTTTTAATGCTATATTGAGATACTTATTTGATGCTTTGTGGATGATTAGTAACTAATTTTGCCTTAATACTAGCTTTCTAAAGTATGCACCAACTCACCTCCTTCCTCCTCTCAGCTCTTGCTTCTCCATCTGCCTCAATACTATCCAGTTTAAGAAGCTGAATCATGAACGACTCGGTAAGCACCACAAATTCTTTGTCCTCAACTTTAGTACCTCTTTGCATAGCTTCCTCTATGACCGAAACCTACATGCACAAGAAGTACAATTTACATAATCAAGAATTCCTGCATCTGAAGGAAACCAAACAAAACCCTAAGGTTAATTTCACAAATGTTCATGTGACATACTGTTATAAAGTCATATAGTTAAATTTTCCTAATAAAAAAAATGCTCAATTATGCTTATACGTCACAGAAAATAAAGAACGCCGAAAAATGCTAAACCCGTCTCCGAATCACAAGTTGACCGTAACTTCAACAACTTACCTTACATACTATTCACATGGAACCCCTTTTTTTTGTGGAAAAAAAGACCATTCTTTGACCCTCTTAAAAAATGTCAAAAGAAAAACACATGATGCGCCACATAGTGCAAAACACCAAGTATTAGGTTGGTTTGGAAAAGAGCGGTTTAATATTTTTTTACTGGATATTATATAAGGCAATTTCGTGGCTATACTTGTATGACAATTTTAGATATGTGGCAATTATGTTTTCTGAGACCGAATTTGGCATTTTTCAGTGTTCTCATTTTCTGTGATACATATGTCTAGTTGAGTTATTTTTCCATATTAGATTTATAACTTTGGTACAATAAAATAAAAGTTAAACGATCATCCGCGAAAATTATCCCGAACTCTAGTGCCAACATTGATTTGCAAGAATACTTACATACCCTGTGTGAGAGCTTATCGACTTCTACTCTTACTCCTGCAACGGCTTCACAAGAGACAGAGGTATTTTGAATATTATTCCTCTCTTTGCTTGCTGGATCCTCCAATACATTTGGTATGTCCTGTACAACAGCAATGTGTAAGAATTCATTGTTATCCTTTTCTTTTCCTAGGGACAATAGCCTCTGAACTGTAGGATGCAGCCCAGTTCTATCAAAGAATTTTCTTCAGGTCCCACGCATTTGATTAACACAAATTAAAGCAATTAGTTCACAATCTTTTTTTAAAAAATAGCTAGTAAATATTGGTAGGCCAATATGCCAATATCTAGATTCAGTATCCAGAGTGTCACAATAGTTAATCAATGGTAGAGCAAGGATTTTTAACAAGGGGAGTTTAAAAAAAATGCAAGAATGACACATCTGGGATCCAAACATGTAGCTCCGTCCTTGCTGCTAATTGCCACCCGCAGGAATTAGTTATTCTTCCATACTAAAGTAAACTTAGGTTTTTACTTAAAATGACAATGTTAGTGGCTGCAGGTGCTTGTGGGGAGTCTACTGTCTAGCTATAAAACAAGAGCAATCATAAACAACCAATTTCATAGCACGCTCTTTGCAGATTTAGTGTTGTATATAAATCAGACAGATGAAGGTTCACATACTTTTCACAATCAAAACAAATAAAATCCTAGGCTTATGTTTTACTTTCTCGAAGTTGAGAACTTAACTGACATGAGTAAATAATCAAACAAGATCATGACATCAAGATATACCGGGTTAACTTTGGAAAAAAGTAAATATAAGATATATCGGGCTAACAGAACTATGAAAATCCCATCTAATTAAATAGGCTCTTAAATATCAACAACAACATTAATATCAACAACAACGTCTCAATCTCAAGCAAGTTAGAGTCGGCTACATGAATCATCACTGCAAAGAGTGTATGAAAATAGAGGCAACAACAACAACTACACCTCAGTCCCAAACAAGTAGGGGTCCGCTATATAAATTATCAAATCCCACTGAGCATGTTTCTCTATTCAAATTCCTCTCAGGCCAACATTACATAAATTAAAAATAAAATTACTAAAAATTCTCTACTATTTTCTACTGGCATAAAATTTCTAATAGAGGCAAAGAAGGAAAAGTAAGCATCATAGAAAACTTCACGAAGTACCTCTTGATGTAAAACCTGGGAACGCATAAGCATGATCTTAGCACCATTTACAACCCTCGACGACTTCAATGTCATTTCATCCACCAAAACTTTCCCTGTCCGTGAAAAACACACAAATTGTGGAAACTATCTAATTCAAATGAATACTTATACACAGATAACAGTTGAATTTATTAGTCAGTCCAAAAATTCCAAAAGAAATGATACCTTTATATATTTAGGAACAATTTAACTTTAAACTTCATGATTTATAAGCACAGAAATGTCAATGACTTGTTTTAGACTACAAATTTAAAATTGTTGCTGTCTTTCTTAAACTTCATGCCTTGTCAAATACCTTAATTCACGGATATTCAGCACTTTGTAGTTCCAATTCAGTAAAAAATAAAGCTTGATAGGGTAGAATTGAAAGAAAGTAACCTTTGAAAATAAGTTTTTGACTGCGAGGGAGGACATTAGTAAGAGGTTGAAGGAGAGACTTGAGGTGTTCGACGGTGGACTCGTCGGAGATTTCCACCGGCATCGATCGGCCGCTGAACTTAACGTTCACCGTTATCGTGCTCCGATTATCAGTATCGCTTGTGCCCTCTTTCTCCATTTCTCTGTCTTTTTCCTTTTGAGGTACCTTTTTCACGAATTTAAACAAAGATATCACATTGACGAAATTGTCCTTGAACGAGAAATTGGTTAAAATATCATGGTTATGAAACGATATCACATTGATGAAATTAACCTTGAAATTGGTTAAAATATCATGGTTATGAAAAATATTTTTGAATGAAAATTTATATTCTTTAATTACGATAAAATGATGAATTTTTTTTATAGATTCATGCCATATATGTTAGTTTAGTGTAGATGCTGGGTATGAGTAAATACATTCATTTTTTCTTTTAAATATTTCGTAAAGATAGCTAAGAATCCAGTAAGTCATGACGTAAACAAATCCAATTTAATTATTGTTTCTTCACTATTTCCCTATGAACTTCTTCAAGAAAAAGAATTAGGTCAACTTAGGGTAAGATTGACTAGAAAAAGGTTAATTTATATTGGACTAATGACATAAATGATCGTGTAAGATAACCTCGTTGAAAGAATGAATTTCAGTTTACTATCTTAACCTTTAACAATTGAGAAATGATACTGATGAAACTCTATCTATTTAAAAGTGATGTAATATGGCCAAATTTTTATGACATTTGTCATGACATAATATACATTATAACAAATTTGTGGTTCATGATATTTGCCATGATATAATATCCATTATAACAAATTTGTGGATCATGACATTTGCCATGACATAATATCCATTATCAGGCCAAGGATTTCTTGCTATAAATGGAGGAGTTTCTCCTCATTTGAAAACACACCACTTCAAGAGCTTTTCACTCTTGTCTTTCTTTCTCCTCCTTTATTTCATTATAGAGTATTTTATAAGAGAGTGAGTGTTGGGAAACACTTGTGTGAACCCTTTCTTTGAAGTGATCTTGTGAGATTATTCTCTTGGGGTATTTGGTAATTAGAGTATTTACTCTAATTTTATACTCTCTTTTGTACTCTTGTTGGTATAATGAAATTGCTTCTTTCCGCCTGTGGACGTAGGTCACCTTGACCGAACCACGTTAAATTTGTGTCTTCTTTATCTTCTTTAATTGTCGTTATTATCAACTTGCATTGTTTTTATTATTATCATTATAACGTTGTTTGGCTAAATTCCGCACTACCCGATTTTTCGATCCTAACAAATTGGTATCAGAGCCAGATCTAACCAGGTTAGTTTAAAAAGCCAAAATGACTCTAACAAAGTCTTATGTTGAGAAATTTAACCGAAGTGCAAACTTCGAAATGTGGCAATTAAAGATAGAAGTTATTCTAATTCGGGATGGCTTAGATTTGGCACTGCAAGGAAAGGAGAAGATACCGAATAAAATAACAGACGAGGAGTTTGCCGTCATAGACAAAAAGGCAAAAGCATGTATTATTTTAAATCTTTCAAATGAGGTTTTGCGTGAAGTTGCAGCAGAAAGCTTAATCAAAGGCATATGGGAAAAGCTTAAAACCCTATATATGAAAAGAACAGAAAACATGCTTTACCTAAAGCAAAAACTCTACACTTTTCGTATGGCTGAAGGTACCTCTATACTTACACATCTTGATACTTTTGATTCTGTTCTTATGGATTTAAGTAACATAGATGCTGAAATCAAAGATGAGGATCAAGCTGTGTTATTGCTTGTTTCCTTACCCCAGTCGTTTAAACATATAAGAGATACTATGCTTTATGGAAAGGATAATATCTCTTATAAAGATATCAAATCTATTTTGAAATCAAAAGAACAAATAGATAGAGATATTACTGGGGAAACTAGTGGGAACCAAGGGGAAGGCTTATTCATAAGAGGTAGATCCAATAAGAAAGATTCAAGTAGTGAGAAACCTAAATCAAGGTCAAAATCCAGATACAGAAATGTCATGTGCAAATATTGTCATAAGAAAGGTCACATTATTTTTGAATGCTTTAAATTGAAAAATAAAGAAAAACGTACAGAAAACAAAAATGAGCACAAAAATACTGACAGTGTCGAAGTAAGTGTAGCTGCTGATGAGACTGAGGGAACTATTTTTTTTAGCAACTAATAATAGTTTCTAATCTAACAATGAGTAAATTTTAGATTCGGGTTGTTCTTATCATATGTATTCCAGCTGGGATTTATTTACCACATATGAATCTATTGGAGGTGGAGTTGTTTTGATGGGCAGCAATGCTGCCTGCAAAGTTATTGGAAAAGGTACAGTCTGAATCAAAATGCATGATGATGTGGTGAGAACTCTCACCGATGTTAGACATGTTCCTAATTTGAAGAAAAATCTCATCTCTTTGGGCACTCTAGAATCTCTTGGGTGCAAGTACACAGGTGAAGGTGGAGTTCTAAAAATTTCTCATGGTGCTCTTGTGATCATGAAAGCACGCAGATCTGGTACGTTGTATACTCTTTTGGGATCTACTGTTACAGGTGCTGCTGCAGTTTCAATATCAGATAAATCAGATTCTGACATCACCAAATTGTGGCATATGCGATTGGGGCATATGAGTGAAAAAGGTCTTTCCATCCTCAGTAAAAGAGGTCTCTTATGTGGCCAAAGTACCGAAATATGGAGTTCTGTGAACATTGTGTGTTCGGGAAGCAGAAAAGAGTCAGCTTCAAATCTCCAGCGATTCATAGAACAAAAGGTACTTTGGATTACATTCATTCAGATCTTTGGGGTCCTTCACGTACCCCATCAAAAGGTGGTGCCAGGTATATGTTAACTTTCATTGATGATTATTCAAGAAAAGTTTGGGTTTATTTCCTGAAAAATAAAAGTGATGTTTTCTTAAATTTCAAACAATGGAAAGTTTTGATTGAGAAGCAAACAGGAAAACAGGTTAAGCGGCTTAGAACAGATAATGGCTTGGAATTTTGTAATGATGAATTCAATGAATTTTGCAAGAATGAAGGAATTGCTCGACATCGTACTGTGAGAATGACACCTCAGCAAAATGGTGTGGCAGAAAGGATGAATAGAACTCTTTTGGAAAGGGCTCGTTGCATGATTTCAAATGCTGGGTTGACAAACGCCTTTTGGGCAGAAGCTATCTCTACAGCTTGTTATATTGTCAACCGAGCTCCTTCTGCAACTTTGAACTTTAAGACTCCAGAGGAAATGTGGTCAGGTACTTCTGCTAATTATTCTGATTTAAAGATATTTGGTTGCCCTGTATACATGCATGTAAATGATGGAAAATTAGAATCAAGGGCTAAAAAGTGCATTTTTCTTGGGTATACATCTAGGGTGAAAGGATACCGACTATGGTATCTTGATCCCACGGCACCAAAATTTATAATTAGCAGAGATGTAACCTTTGATGAATCCTCTATGTTACATTCTAGAAAAGAGTCTTCTAGTTCTTGTAATACAGATAAAGGAAAGAGTACACAGAACCAGGTGGAGATTGAGATTGGCATTCCTTCTGAGCCAAGCTCATCAACTTTGGAGCAAAATACAGTTGAAACTCCTGAAGTTGAGACAGAAGCTGAAATTCCTGAAGTTGAGACTCCTGAAGTTGAACCAGAAGAAGAGGAGTATTCTATAGCCAAACATAGACCAAGAAGAGAAGGTAAACAACCATTAAGGTTTGGAGATTATGTTGCATTTGCTTTTTCAGTTGCACAGGAAACTGAAGAAATTGGAGAACCATCAAAATATTCAGAAGCAGTTTTTGGTGCTGACTCAGCCAAGTGGCTGATTGCAATGAATGAAGAAATTGAGTCTCCCCACAAGAATGGTACTTGGTCTCTTGTGAAACCGCCATCAGGAAAAAGAATTGTTGATTGCAAATCGGTCTTCAAGAAAAAGGATGACATTCCAGGGGTTGAAGATGCGAGGTATAAGGCACGATTAGTTGCAAAGGGCTATAGTCAGGTACAAGGAGTTGATTTTAATGATATTTTCTCACCTGTTGTTAAACATAGCTCTATTCGTGTCTTGCTTGCCTTCGTTGCCATGTATGATTTGGAATTAGAACAACTTGATGTTAAGACAGCTTTCTTACATGGCGAACTTGAGGAACAAATATACATGCATCAACCCGAAGGATTTGAAATTGAAGGAAAAGAAGATCATGTTTGCTTGTTGAAGAAATCCTTGTACGGATTAAAGCAGTCTCCAAGACAATGGTATAATAGGTTTGATTCCTTTATGTTGGGTCATGGTTATTCGAGGAGCATGTATGATAGTTGGGTTTACTTCCGGAAGTTAAATGATGGTTCATTTGTGTACCTATTATTATATGTTGATAACATGCTCATTGCTGCTAAGGATTTAACAGAAATTCACAACTTGAAAAGTCAACTGAAAAGTGAATTTGAGATGAAAGATTTGGGAGCAGCTAAGAAAATCCTTGGCATGGAGATCAAAAGAGATCGAAAAGCCAACAGGCTATTTCTGACCCAGAAGAAGTACTTGGAGAAAGTTTTGAAGAGGTTTGGCATGAAAGATGCTAAACCAGTTAGTACTCATCTTGCTGCTCATTTTAAGTTATCAGCTGCTCAGTCCCCGCAGTCAGAGGAAGAAGAGAGGTACATGGCACAAGTTCCTTATTCCAGTGCAATCGGCATGCAATGGTTTGTACACGTCCAGACATTTCACAAGCAGTGAGCGTGGTAAGCCGGTATATGGCTTGCCCTAGTAAAGCACATTGGCATGTTGTGAAATGGATTCTCATATACTTGCGAGGTACTTCAAATAGATGTTTGGAGTTTGGGAGAAATACTAACACTTTGGTTGGTTTTGTAGACTCAGATTATGCAAGTGATCCTGACAAAAGAAGATTACTGACATGCTATGTATTTTGCATCGGTGGTTACGCTATTAGTTAGAAAGCTACATTACAACATGTAGTAGCTTTATCTACTATCGAAGCAGAATATATGGCAGTGACCGAGGCGATCAAAGAAGCTTTATGGTTGAAGGGTCTATTTGCGGAACCCAGTTTATACCAAAGTGGTATTACCATTTTATATAATAGCCAAAGTGCCATTCACTTGACTAAAGATCAAATGTATCAT